AAAGTATTACGTTCTTTCTGTAAATAGCACAGAGTATTATGTTCGCTCTGTAAATAGCATAGAGTATGACGTTCGTTCTGTAAATTAGCAAAAAATTTAGCTACTGTTTTGTTTAATTTGATAATTTAAAAAAAATTATGGCGGTCTACTTTTAGGCTAACTTGTAAAATTGAAGAAATTAAGAAATTTTATCTGGAAACATAAAACAACTATTTTCGACATTAGATATAAAAGTCGAATTTCAAGCATTAGATTTGATTTCTTATTCACAACTATGTTATCCTTTTTCCTACTTCCTATGAAATGCTTAATCCGCCTTCATCAAAACAGAGTAAATTGTTATAAACTAACGAATGCAGAAATTTTACCAACTCGGCTTAGGAAATGTTAAAGAAATATGAAATTCACTTGACATGTGTAGAAATGTAATATTTTATACATTTTATGTATTTAATGTATTTTGCAACTGTAAAGCTGGTATTGTGTGTGTGTGTGTGGTTGTTGCTGTAAATCTTGTTGCTATAAAGCTGGGCTTCGAGCCGAACACAAAATCTAAAACAATTTATTGCTTTTAATAAATAAGAAAAACGGTGAGCAAAAAATCTCTCTCCTCTGTTAAATAAGAAAAAGTAACAAAGCAATCGTGCACAGAGAAGGTTTCACCTCGAGAAATTCAACACAGAATAAGAGCTTGTACACCGTCCGGACATTTTATATTTTGTTTTCATGTTATGACTTTTTAAAAAATTAGGCATTAGACGGTCGCAAAATAATCCATTTTTAATATTTCAAAATTCGACCATTAGGTTGAATACAGCAACACAAAGGCACTCTTCTGATATCCAGATAGATATGCAGGATATTTCAAGGTCGCCCTTGTTCATACATAATTTTTTTTATTTGAGACTTAATATGAAGAATGGTGCTTAAAACCATTCGATCCAATCCACATTTTGTCTTCTGTGTTGATCCGTCAGAGAGTGAATTAGGTATTTTGGATTTGATTCAAGTATTTATTGAGACTTTGCATAAATGCTTTGAGAATGTGTGTGGGTTTGATTTAATTTTTCACGCTAATGCGTATATCATATACTTTCCAAATTGGTAATGGGTGGGATAGTTTTGCAAACAAATATGAGCGACATAATGGCAAGGATTGAGTAGCAAAATAAGCTGGTTAAACAAGAAGCTAGCATATCATGCACCAATCCATCTAATGAATGTGAAAAGTATATAAGAAGCTGCAGTTTGATGCAAACAAGCATTACTTACATGTTTATTTAATTTCCTTCAGGATACGCCGTTATTATACATTGGCCGGTATTCTCTCGTTTTATCAGCGATCGGACAACAAGGTAAAAGTATACACCAAAATTCCGGACTGCATTAAATGGATTTTGGTAATGATTGAACAGAAACTTCATTTACGAATTAGACGATTAAGGCTATCCTGGCTTTGAGTACCAGATATTTGTTGATAAATACCAGATATTTGCTTGATATTTTCAATTTTGATAATTTATGACTTTCGAAGCAGATGTCTTTAAGTTTGAATAAAATTAAATTCTCTGAATGAGCCGACAGCCTGTGTTGCTAGTGCTCAATGTCTTTTTTTTAGTCTAAGAATTCAATTCATTAGTCTAAAATTAAAATAATAATAATAAATTCTCTGAAAATTAAATGAAAATTAAAATATGATTTTTAGAATATATCGACTGTCATCAACATGTGTTTAATTGCATTTTGGAATTTTTGATTCATTTTGCACATGTGGGTTTGGTGAGGCTCGATTTAAAGCAATCCAACTCAATGTCCAATGTAAATGTAATCCAATATAATTCTCATTTAACAGAAGCCTACATTTCTGACCCTTTAACAGAAGTGCGAGCTCACACTCTCACACACTCTAATACCTCATTTACTTTATGCTCACTCACGTAACAGAATCGAAACGTTGCAATTTATCGAAAGCAACTTCGTGCTCTCTCCATTCTCCACACATGGTTCTTTTTTTTTAAACCTTGTAAAGGAAAAAGGCAGCTAACAGATTTTGGCGAGAAATCAAAACACGGTGCCACGCCTACATTGAATTTGATTTTTTAAAATTGCTCACCTTTGACGATTTGAATCAACGCCTGAACAATATTGGACTTGGATATGGAAAAGGAAATTGAAGAACTGAATACGAAATACAATGCCAAATGACAACCTATTGTAGATGATATGAACGCAAAACGCAAATGTGAACGGAAAATTAATAATACCTTATGCAAAATTTAATAAGATTGAAAGTATTGGCAAAACTAATAGATGAAAAAAAAATCAATTTGTATATACGAGCGGAACCGCTAAGAATTACGTTGTTTTTGATGGAGATTCATTTAAAAACAATTGGTTTTTTTTTGATGTGGTGATCGTTTCCACTCTACAATAAATCGTTTTTGCAGACGATTATAAGATGCACGATATCGTATACCTCCAAATATACATTGGACGGAAAGCTAAACAGAAAATTGTAGAAGCAAGTCTACATCATCAGCATTACTACTCCTGTATTAACTCTCACCAGTGCTCTTCTCCAATCTGCAATTTTAAGGAAATTCTTAGAATAAAGCACGTTCTTTGTGACCGCTTAAAATTATGTTTATTAGAGGATTTGTAGAACAAGCAATCAGAACAACTATGAACATGAAAGTAGCTATAAAAAGTAATTAGTGGTTGAACTTATCTATTAATTATTTTTCCTTATATACATGTATAAATGTTATAATATATTAACTTTTTTATTCTTTTTTGGTTTCTTCGTAGAGTACTTAAAAGCATATACGTATTATCTTCTTCGTATTATTCTTCTCTGATCTTAGCAAGACTAAATATTTCTCACTTTCCATTGCCTTCGTTGATATTAGTTGAATTTTGAGACGTAACTAATAAGTTTAAATATATAAACATATATATAAGAAAAACTTTAAAATTTATACATTTTTATATTTATATATTTAACTTTCTTTTCTAAAATAAGTCGAGAGCCTTTGTTTCTAATTCTCCATGTTTTCTTTAAGTCTAAGAATTTATATCATTATTTCGTTTTCCTTCACTTCAGAAAGAATGGTCTAAACCATTAAAAATCGGATTTAATTATTTAAAATAAAAAAGTTGTTCTTCTCCAAATATCCTAAAATCATTTAAGAAAATGTGTTTGACCATTTATTTATTTTTTTTTTTTTTTGCTTTCTGGCAACAGTATATTAAACATAACAGATCATTTTCATAGAAAATTCCACTAAGAAAATTCCACACTAAGTTTAATCATTTAAATAATCTACTTCCTCAGTTCGTCCTTTATATACTAAAGGTTAATATTATGTGTGCGTCCTACATACGAAGAATAAATAATTCTAAAAGTAAAAAAAAAAATGCTTTTTATTATAAAAATAAAGTGGCGTGATTTTTTTTATCAATTACAGTTTTGTTATATTTCATTGGTTACGTATATACATATACATATGTGCGATTGAAATGAATTAATCACACATTTACATTTACTCTGTTGTTGTTTTTTATGGAACATATCAATCACTATTGTTTTAAGTTTAATGTGTAATCATTAGACATAAGGAGCTACTTAATACCTTAAGGTAATCAATTACTTCAACAATTACGTGTACGTTAAAATTGTTAATTTCATAAATTGTGAACATTTCACCTAGCCGACATGCGAACTTGCGTTTGTAAACAAATCTATCTTACTTCCAAAGCTGAACAGCGGAATCCAATTTAGTTTTTTTCCATTTCCGAATCTTTTAAAATGTCAAACAATTAAGATTAACAATAAAGATTTAAAAGTAAAATTCAGAATAACGTGCTACTTTGTTTATAATATTTAGAAGTGTGTTAAGATTTGCATTAAGATAAGATAAGAAGACATGATTACGAAATCATTTAGCCATGTTTCTATAAAAGAAAGTAGGTAAGTATTTTATCCAATTTATGGTGTATTTTTTGGCAAGTCTTCAATGTATAGCTGCTACGAAGTGGAACAATGGTTTCATAAAGCAAAAATTGAAAAACTCTTATTTGCTTGACCAATATTTTTGTTTTACATACTTTACCAATCGGATCGCAGTATGCATAGCAATTTACACCCCGCTGTATTGAAAATTCCATTAGAAATTGTATGCTCTGGACCACTAATTCCTTTAAATGGGGTCTTTGGGTCTTTTCACTCGACAAAAAGTATACGCTTTTTAAACCTAGCCCATTGTCTAATCAGAAAAATTTATTTTATTAGTTTTTATTATTACGGAATACATAATAAAATATTAAAAGAAAAAAACATTAGTCCAGTAGACAAGAAAATGAAATAACTTCAAGACTTGGAAAAATGTAGCGTCAATAATGATACGAAGGAACAAAAATCATATGAAATGCTCTATTTTCATTAATAAAAGAGAAAATATTTCACATTTTAAATACCAAAAAAATGAGCAGAAGTCGTTTTCGTTTAATTCAAATATCAACGAATTATCAGAAAAATCTTAGAGCCGATAGCCTGTGTTGCTAGTGCTCAATGCCTTTTTTTTAGTCTAAGAATTCAATTCATTAGTCTAAAATTAAAATAATAATAATAATAATAATAATAGAAAAATCTGAAAAGTTGTACCATTTGTTTATGTTTGTTATTCCTACGATAAAAACTAAAATCGATACACTTTTCATGCTTTCTTTTTAGCAAAGATTCTAAAAACCCGTTTGCCAATCTTTGAGCAGTTAATATAAAATTTGGGAACACCGTTGCAGTTTGTTCTCTTCTCTCGTTAGATGTATTTCCATTTGTGCAAAGCAAAAGCAAGATAGACTATCTCATTAAAGTATTCTTACAAAATTGTAAAAGAGAAAAGAAAATGCAAATCCCAAAAGTTCCAGATAATTGACATTAAACCACTCAGCAGAAAATCAAGAATACGAAATGAAAAAAAACTACAAAACATTTTGTTAACACTCGGATATTTCGACATATATTAAAAAACGCTTGAAGTGAGCGCACGTATTTTTTTCCTCAACTGGAACAAAAATATTGAAAAAGGAAATTTTCATTAAGAATACATAAGTCAAAAAAAGCTTGCGACGTCGCGTAGTCCAACATTACATATTTACATATATTTTTATAAACTAGTGGTGTGTGCTATAGGAAAAGAGCGGAAATTTTTCTAAATTTATATAAAATATATATCTATATATAGACATATTCGTATACATTTTCTTTAAGAGGAAAAGTTATTGCTAAAAAACATGAACGGAGCAAACTTAGATGGCACAGCCGGTGAAGATGAAAAATCACGACCTGAGCAAAAATCTAAGCAAATTCGTGTGTGGTGTGATGGTTGGTGAGTCATTAATTTTATCTGTCACTTTTTTTTCTAATTAAAAAATTATTGATGAAAAAATATTCTTCAAAGCAAATGTCATAAGTGTTTTTATACATGTTTTCGTCTTTCCATTGTGCATGTTTTTATTAGTTAATTAGAGAAATTTCGCTAATTTTGTTGTCTTGTGATCGCCTTCCCTATTTGCCTTGTGACGGCCGAAGAAGGAATTACGCAAATTTCCAATTTTATGTGAAAATTGAACAGCTGATCTGTTAGAATCTAAAAATTGCTCGCTACCAAACGTAATCTTTTTTAATAATCATTCTTCAAACATTTCGATTTTAAATTTTTACAAAACATTGTACTTATGGAAGAATATGATATAATGTTGTATTAATTCATAACCCCATAAGTAAATTCTGATAATGGCAATTGTCGTTTTTCTGCTGCGTCTAACATGGGAAAGAAAATATTTTTCGATAGGTGTCCTTTTTACATATCTTGCTCTGGTTATATGATCGCATATAGGAAATTAACAACACTAATCAAGAACTAATAACGGTGCTTAAACTGAACGTTATCATCGAGGCGAGGCACTTGCCGGTGAAATAATATATGTTTTGGACCTATTATCGAAATACGTTATTTCACGTAACGTCATGTGAGGATTCGGCAATGTCTGTTCGTTTATTGAGGGGATTCATACAGCAATTGCGAAAATATCTGAAATCCCTTATGTTTTACAAAGGTAATTTAATGTGTTTTTTGCATAACGTAAGCTAGCTATGTATATCGAACACTAAAATATGAATCGAATATTGAATTCACAAATTCGAAACAAAAAACTGAGGGAAAATAGGTGTGGGATTGAAATGATCATTTTGGGTAGAAGTAAGTACATGTAGAATTTCAGTACTTTTGTCATAAGCCGAATGCCAAAAAGTGACAAAAAAAGTGTGGATGATTGATGCACAGTGCATATCACTTCTTTTCTGGAAGTAAGTATACATCCAACCGTTAGGAAGCCATTATCGCTAATTAAACTAGCATTAGTCTAGCAAAACAAAGAGAAGGAAATTAATTGAAATTATTATTTTTGATAGTTTTTGTACGGCGAAAAAGCCTTTTGGTGCGTATTCGAATCTAAAAAATATATTTTAGCTCGCCAAACAAGCGGGAGATTTTACATTTATTAATTTTTGCATCATTGATTAGTATTTGAATAAAAAAGATCAATTCTTGGCCAAAAAAGGCAATAATTTTTATTAATAAAGTAATTAATTTAAAATTCCCTACGAATTCCACTATGGAATGTTATGCTAAAGACATTCCAAAAAAAATTCGAGCGAGAAGAATGAAAATTGTAAGAATGGTTGTCTCCACCGTTTTCAAATTTGTAATTACTTAATAGCAATTAATCGATGATTTTAACATTACATTTACCGCACTCGTTAATTTAACTAGTTTGCGACTTCAAGCTGAAAAATCCTGCCTAAGGAAGCAGATATCTTAACTTCTTCTTTTTTTTCTGGGATACGCTAAGTTTGCAACCGATCAAAAAAATTGTTTTTTAAATTTTCGTCTATAACTTTGGATTCCATAAATATACCTTGGAAAGGCTCCTACACTTGTTTAACGCAAAAATGATCATCGGTTCGTTAGTACGTCCACAATTGACGATAAAATTTTAATTCCAACTAATTTTTTATTTATTCTGACGCCGGTCGGAACCGTTTTTAAACAGAAAAAAAGTGAAGTTGATCCTAACGAACATTTGAATCACAGGTTTTGAAACTCATCTTCACGGAATCAAAAGGTATATACGAAAATATCAGGGAATTAATTTCTAATTTAATTGTAGTTGATTGGAAAAAAGACTAACACGCGTTAGAAAAAATTGAGAACAAGTTGGAAATAAGCTAAGATGAAAAAAGAATCTGTCTTACTGGTTAGACGCTTTCATAGGTTGAAAACACAATTGATTGAATTAATTCAAAGCAAGGAGAGCTGTTATTCCGAGCTGTAATTTCCGTATTCCAAAAATTTTAGAAAACAAACCGTTTTATTGCCTTACAGTGAAAATATGCATAAATGCGAAAAGAAGCATATTTGCTTTTCGTATATATTATGATTACCACGAGACAATGGGAGTAAACTGGATATGCGAAAATATTGGTTTACACTCCATAAAAGCTCTTGATTGAAAGGACGAAAAACTAATGCTCCCAGCCGTTCAATAAAAAATAGCTTTTATTAGATGGCTGACGGTGTCCTTAAACAGCCAAATTTGTTGCAGTATTTATAAATTATTTTATTTTATTAAGTGTGTGAAGATAAATTCGAATTTAACTAGCAGGCACCTATCATTACCCTTAACTGAGCTCTGTAAACGTCCTACGCTTTGTTAGATATTTAAAATTAAGAAATAGTTGGATTCGGAAGCCTGCTCCGTCCATATTAAAAAAGATAAAATGTTTTTGTGGACAGTTCATGAATCTACATGACAATGCCTTTTAAACAAGCTAAACGAATTCAAACTCTGATTATAGGAATTACTTTTAAAAATTTTTTGAAATTTTGCATGTTAGCGAAAAGTGGGTATGGAAAAAGAACGAAATTTGGGACTCTAGTGCAGCCAAATTAGACAATGTCGGCTGTATTCACCTATATCATGCATCTGCATGAAAATTCCTACCGAATGAGCAAAAAAATTCAAATTTTCAAGCAGGAGAGAATTTTTGCGATAGAAGCGATAATCAAATTTAAACAAACAATTTAATGATATTTGAAATCTTTTCACCTTGGCTCTGATCCAAAGTGACCATAGACAAATCTTGTGTATTCGAGTAGTCCGTATTTCAAGACCGGCGGCGATTACGATCGCGAAGAAACTTTCTGTTTATACATAACAATTAAAAAATACATAAAAAAAATTACCAGAAATGTTTCAATAAATTGTTTTCTAGTATTCTAAAATACTGGTCTAGTATCTAGTATCATGAATTTGCTTTGAAGAAGTAAAAAAAAAACAAAAAAGTAACTTAGAACAGCTAAATTTGTTCAGAGTAGCAATGATATTCGCACATACAATATATATTTTCAATACTAATAAGAAATGCAAGTCCTAACCTTTAGAAAAATATTTATGTAAGCAACCAATTTGGAGTATATTTCGTCTAAATTATTGAGTGACAAGTTCACATATCACACTGTCTAGATCACGAGGACTCAAAGTTTTCAAATTTATCTCCCAACGTGTCCGTAAATTCTAGCTGAAAATTTTAAATATCCTGAATGTAATAGACATTTTTGATAGTGCGGCGATAAAACTGAGAAAGGATATTTTAGGCAAATGCCAGCCACAGCCTTTTGAATAGTATATATACCCAAATATATATACCCCAATATATTTGACTAATCTACGTTACACAAATATGTTTTTCTGCGACAGATTCTGTGCAACACCTTTTAAAATCTGCATAAATGCAGATTCTTTAATAAGTCATTCTTGAAATTATATGACAGAAATAGCATATTTTCATTTTAAAACGTAGATACTTCACTTTACATCTAGGCAAGCAAAATTTCATACAGAATATCATGTTTGTAATACTGCTTAATATGCCTATTTCCAGTAAGATATTCATCAAATATCAAGAATGTTCGATGGTTTGATAACTTGCTTTCAAGGTGCATTCTTATCTTAACATCTAGAAACAAGTACATATAAGCTCTCACGAAAAAACTTTATACATTTGCGCTGAAAGCTGGAAAGGGTTTCAAGAGAATCATGAAATTTTGGAATATAAAATGTTGAAAAAAATTTCTTATCCATATCATACATATGGTTAGGCGCATAAGGTTCATATATAGCAGCATTTATCAAAAGGCAAACTAAGGCTCGCTAAATCAACTTATGTAGTCATGAGGAATTGTCACTCACATAAAACTCTTTTCCATATCGTTCTTTAAAATGAAAAAAGCAGTAAAACTATTAACGTTACGTCCTAAGTTGAAACGAGAAGAATTTTCAATTCATTTCAATCTGCCGAACAAAAACGGTTAAAAAAATATACCTTCATCCACCTTTTTAAAATTTTAAAATGCCACTAGTGTGCTTAAGCATTGCCTGGGGAATTTTCATTAAAATTTGCATTATTTAGTGTGCCTTATAACAAAGTTAGACAGGCCAGTGTATAATCATTGCAGCAGATTAGTGTATGATCTTACCGCAACCATAAATAAAGAGGTTTAAAAGCAAGTTTTATTTTTTGGACGAAGAGTTGAAGAATATAATGCTATTTTACATATTTCAGACAGGTGGAGAGAAAAATTGAATGCGTAAACTATGTGGAATTTTTGAGACGTATTCTTCTTTACAAGTTACTAAGGTTTCATAAATCAAGTAAACCACATGGCATGACAAACTTCTGCTTGCAAGTTAATTTATAAATAACTGGATATGTTCCGCACATTTTTGTTCCGCGGGCAAATTTGATATCGAAATTGCGTGTTGGTTTGATGGATCTCGCTTACAAGAATTCATTAACGGGAATTCGGTTGATGCTATTCTTAAGAAGATTACACTCTGAAATTCCAAAATGTTGGCAAAAATAATAATTTATACCTGTTGGTACTTAAAAATATGAATTGGTATAAATGGAGTGGAATTAACTAAAAAATTTTTGAGAACGACAAAAGTTGGAAATATAGGATTACTAGAAACTATTTAAAAGATATTGTGGAAACGTGATATTTACTGCCTGCTTGGGCGGCTTGGGTTTTGTTACGGACTAGCAAACTTAACATGAAAAAAGTAAATAACAAGTAACAAAGTAATAACAAGTTGGCTTTAAAAAACAATTTAAACAAACAGGGATATATACTTACTGTATTTTATATATTTTTTTCATAGATTTCAATTTTTTCACCTCTTTCTTTGCAAAATTTCATATTTGGTTAATTTATTTATTTCCTTTTTATTCCTCTTCTTTGCATTATTTTGTTATAAATACACACAAGAACACACAAGAGAACAGCTGCGCTTTTGCGTTATTGTATTATAATGTATCTTCTTACATCGCGCTGGTTCTTCAAACTTTTCTCCAGAAACTTCCACAACCTTTGGCTAATCGCTTGATTTAGTGTCGCTTTAATAAGACAAAGTTATTTGATTATTTTGTCAGAAAAGTCCCATTTTCTTTATCCATTTTATTGTTATCGTTGCTCCATAAATCGTTCAAAGAAATCTAATTGCTGTGCGTGAGCCTTAATTGAAGTTTGTAAGCATGAACATGTGAATCCTTCGTGCAATATTCAGGATGAAGCTTCTGAAAGTGTCCACTTTTTGACTTAATGCCTTTACACTCACTCCAACACTTACGAATTGCCTTGACTTTTCTGCTCAAGATTGGCTATAATCATTACCCTAATTTTTTTAAGTAATCTCTTCACAGTTCATGAAGTTAAATCATTATTCCGATAACATTTCGTACGAAAAATTTAAATCAATAGGACACACTATATTATGCAAGTTATTGGTTAATGGAAGATTACGAAGGCTTTTTTATTTCATCTTTTGCAATTCTAACACTTCATGCATAGCCATTATCAAATGACTGTATCTAAATATTAATGTTACGATTGCTTACTAAACACAAGATAAAGTAGACATTTGAATTAAGGCAATCAAGTAAAGCCTTAAAGTAATTAGAAGAACAGAATCGCGTACAGTTCAGAATATTGTTCATTTAAAGAAATTATTTTTCCCACTATTGTCATCCCCGTAATGGAGAACACTTTCCTGCAATGTATATTCAAGAGTAATTAGGATCGCTATTACAGAGTTGTTTGGTAGCTATATAAGCTACCTAGTTGTTACTACCGGTGCCGCAAGCCAGCGCAGGGCTGGTAAGGATAATTCGGCGAGTTTCGTGATGATTACTTAACAATTGCCCACGAGGTTTTAGTAGCTTAGCGCTAATAGCGTAATGCTTGCTAAAAAACTAAAGATATTTTTATAATGGGGCTATCTAAAAATTCGATGCGAAACTGTAGTTGCTCGAATCATCTCCATTATTAAAACAAAACTCCTGAACTATTGAGTTGAGACAGATCAGTGTGTGCGTTTCGCCACAAAGTAAATGTCAACTTTTATGAATAACTGACATCGCGCATTTCATTTTATAATCACATCGAATGCACTTAAATTAACTTAAGCTTTAGAGGAATTATACCTGTTGAATTGGTTGCATTTTTATTTACAATATGGAAACTACTTTAGCGTTTTTTTCTTTTTAATTATGATAAATACGTACAAAATTTTCATCTGTATGCTTCCAAACCTTTGTTTTTCCCTTTAGAAGGTAGCTTAGAGCCTGAGAATATTTGTCCACGTTTACATTATTGGGTTTTATTGGTTGAAAAATATATGGTTAATGGTTTACTCTTTTCGAAATCTACTTCGAATGAAAGATTTGTCTCACATAATGATGATCCATGGCAGAAGTTAAACTGCTTCCATTTTTGGTTTCTCAATTGAGTCTATAGTATGTGAATGCACAATATCTCGTTTTTATTGCGGACTATAGACATAAACTCTTTGAATGTTATTTGAGTATGACCGAATTCCAGTCGAGGCTGACCAGGATTCCGAAATTCGGAAGCTATGCTTGAGATCTATTATTTAGTTATTTTTTTAATTAGACGTGAAACTTAGCTAAAATAAATTAACAGCCGCATTCAATTGACTCTTAGAAGTAAATCTCATACTAATTAATATTAAGAGCTAATACAAAGTATAGAAGGAGAAGTAAAGAAAAAAAAAATTCATGTATAAGACAAAAAAAAAACAGAACAAGTACATAACTAGCACAGACGCAACCCACAACCAGAACAAATAAGTTCAAAGTTCAAGTGGCCACATAAGCCATTGCAAACATGCAAGAGTTTGGCAACCGATAACATTAAACAACGCTAGCTCATTTTCGCATCATAGTGATATGTTAAGGTTGCAAGTTAGTTTAAATAAGACACAGGCAAATCGAACGTGTTAAGCATAGTTCTTTTGATAGATTGTAAAGGGTGCGATTAAGCCATAGACATCGTTCAGGTTTCTGCAAACACCGCTGAAGCGATTAAACAGCTCATAATTATATTTACATTGACTAAACTTAATGACGTTAAAGTGCCTAGAGGAGCGATTAGAGACATTAAAGCTTATCTCGCCAAGTAATGAGGACGAATCGATAGTACCATTAATTAATTTATTTAAAAAGAGAACACCAACAATAAATCTATGTTTCTCAAGTGACGGTACGTATAAGAGATGCAACCTATTTTCATGAGTAGGAAGAGAGAGAAGCTGATCCCAATCCAAATTCCAGAGGGCAAACAGCCAGAATTGCTTTTGAAAGGACTCACTTAAATCTCCTTAAAACCTATAGAAAGGAAACCACACAACAGAGGCGTACTCAAGTATTAGTCTAACTAAGCACATGTGTAGCCTTTTTGTGGTGTAAGGATCCTTCAGCTGTTTAAAGCAGCTGTTAATGAATGAAATGTTTTACTTAAAAAGACTTCAATGTGCAAATTAAAATGTAATCTCTCGTCGAATAGAACACCAAATCGATGAACGAATCAACGTTTTCCAACCTGTGTAAAGCAATGAAAGACTCGGTATTGAATAACTTCCTTCTTGAAAAATAAAGTATTTTTTTACATTTAATTTCATAAAATTTCATGCAACCAAATTATTTAAGTCAAATTGAAGATGATACTATTGCGATTCCAAGGAGAAGGAAGAAAACAGTCTAATATCGCCAGCGTACATTAAGAAGAGAACTGGCTGGATTTAATCACCGAGGGGAGATCATTAATACATAAATTAAATAAAAGGGGTTCTAACTGGCTTGAGGGACACCAGATGTGAAGGGAAATTCATCCGAGGCAGTAAAGCAGAACAAGGTTTTATCTGCACAACAGTGCACAACAGTGCAGATAAAACCTTGTCCATTTCAATAAGTAGAAAGGGATGGCAGAGGCAGTGTGAACCCAAAGAGAACTCAAAACCATTGAAAGAAACATGCGAAGGGTATATGGGGATTTCTCTTTTGCAATTGACAAACTTAAGAAAATATTTAGGATTAACAATCAGTGGGAATTTTATCAACTAAAGGCACTTGTAATAACATTGGTGGGTGAGGTAATTAAATCAATGCCTTGCAGCAGAATAAGCGATATAGTCGTAAGCAGAACCGCTTTTCATAACTTTTGTGAAAAGTTTGCTTTTACAATTTTTGAAATATTTAACTCTTTTGTTAAACCATAGTGGACATTTGCTTCACTTCTCTTATTGCAACGGATGCAGAGACAGTTCCGACGAATGTAAATCAGACTTTGACCAAGTTTCTGTGAAAGCCAAACAGGAAAACTCTGTGCTTCGTATATTTTAGAGTTTAGGGTCTAACATTTTGGTAAGTGGAAGTTCTTCGGCATAAAGAAACATGTAGTTTTTTGAGGGTGGGAGAGCTACCGAATTAGTATTACGGGGTCCATTCCAAAGAATGAATTGCTTAATTAAGGATCCAACTGTCCACAATGGTTTGTTTAATAAAATTTCCGTGTTTTCAGTCGGAACTGATACTTTAAAAGACAGGATAGCTCAAGGTTGCGATGAAACATTTTCAAATTGGCGGATGAAACTTTTGCAGCCTGATGAATTTTTATGCTCAGAGATATCAGGCGTCCATCTTGACACGAATATTGCCGTCAAGTAGACGTCATCTCTACGTTGGGATTCACAGGTAGAGAGTTTTAAGTTGGCGAAAATATATAGAGGTTGACGACACTTGCACGTGCAGTTTGCGCGACTTACCAAGCATAGTGACCAGCAGGCGCATAGTAGACACAGGTTTCTTCAACTGTTATCGGATTGCCTAATAAAACGACTTGGTGCCGTACTCGTCTAAAATTGATTGGGCATCATTAGCTCGTTTTGGGTTTACTTTGGTCAGCAACCTGGTCAACTTTTCCCGCAAAAAAACGTAAGGAAGATTCGTTCTTTCTTAAATGAACGATCAGACGTACTAAGTTTCAGATTAATGAAAATACATCTAGCTTCAGCTAAATTAAGCAAGAGCCTTTGCATCTGTTGAGCATCCAAGATTAGATTCCAGGAACATATATGCATTTGTAAATGTTTAATTCGGCGGTGGATGTGCCTATATTAAAGGACAGTGGCAACAAGCACATAGTAAACATTAAAAATATTAACCTATTTTCCTCTTGTTTGAACCGTGATAAAATTCAAGTTGAATGTTCCATCAAAAGCACGTTTATTTTGCAATGCAAAAACTATGTAGAAAAAGATGATAAATTAAAATCAATTTTTCGAGTGTGAACCAAATTGCAGTTTTTTCTTTCAATTCTTCTTTGGGACTAGACGTTCGGCATAGTAACAATGTTAATGTTTTACTTAATATATTTTAATATTGAATTCACTTCTTTTTCAAAAGCTTATCTCTCGTAGGGAGCGTTTTTAGAAATTTTTGATATGAATAAGTTTTTCTAATTTGTACATACAATGACAAAAGGTTATCTTGAAGTCAATATTTACTACGTCAAAAAAGGTTTTTTTTTTCATTTAGGTGGGCTGGTACGATGTCCACACCTGCATAATAATCTTCATAATCCATATAATTTTTATGTTAAATATTTCCGGTATTTTACTTTTTTTTTGTTGAATTTTGTCTGCTGTTCCAGTTATGATATGGTTCATTTCGGTCATGCAAACTCTTTAAGACAAGCCAAGGCTCTTGGTGATGAAGTAATTGTGGGTATTCATACAGATGAAGAGATTACAAAACATAAAGGGCCGCCAGTATTTACAGAAGAAGAACGTGTTAAAATGGTTAAAGGAATTAAATGGGTCGACGAGGTTGTCTTAGGTGCACCTTATGTAACTACATTAGAGGTATTAGATGAACATAATTGTGATTTTTGCGTGCATGGAGGCAAGTGTCTTTTACTTTGCTTACGTTGGTAGTGCTTTATTTTTTACTATTGTACCACCTTTTGAACTTAGATGACATAACCATGACCGCTGAAGGAGTGGATACATATCACCTAGTTAAGAAAGCTAATCGTTACAAGTAAGTATTAAAAACTTTGGATTTACATTTTAGTTCGTTTCACATAATGAATTAAGCGAATTTAAAAAATTTTAAGTGGTTCAGAAAGAGCTTTTAGCTCGTGGTTTTTCGATTTGACTCTGTGGCTGCGTATAGGTTGTACGATAAATGCGTGCGCAACATATCCGACAGAGAAGATGTGGATTAGTCAACTATTTGTATGAACTGTTAATCTCAGTTGTGCTTTTCTGCACGAGGTTCCAAGGAAATATCTGCATCAAATAGAAAAGTGAAAAAGGATGGGTTATATTGCCTGTTAAGTAAAGGAAAAAGAGGAGTTAATAATGCTGAATCGAAGTTCTACCAATTATTGGGTACTTTAATATTGATTTACTGTATACAACGGCATATATGAAATAAACTTCCGAAAGCTGCAAATTTGCATAAAATTTAATTTTTTGTGCCCATGACCATGCCCCAACCATTAAGTGTCCGTCGAATGGGGGTTCTTACTACCATTAGGATGAACAAATCGACTGGGTTCCTATTCCTTTAAGACTAACAAAAATTTTCCTTTTTCAGGGAAGTAAAACGCACCGCTGGTGTATCTACGACTGATTTAGTGGGCCGCATGCTTTTATTAACTAAAAATCATTTTCGCCAAGGTTCCGCAGAGTATGCTATAGAAAAAGAAGGTACAATGTTTTACAATATGTATCCGTGTACTGCTCCTTAATTAATACTAACAAAAAAGTTATGCTATAATTAATTTTTATGCTTTATCTGGTTTATTAAAAGTAAATATATAGATTGCATTTGTAAGACATTAAAAATTTGATAGTATTTCTCCGTTGGCGTTCTCATGTGTAAATAATAATTTTAATTTTTACATTAATTTAAGTTTTGGTTATTAAGTTTTTCATCATGTGTCTGTAGTCATTTGTGTTTCCTTTTTTATTTATGTATTTACGTTTCTTCTTTTTCCAAAGTAAAGTTCATTTTATAATTTTTTCTTTTTCTCTCTTCTTCTTTTCATATAAATCCCATATATTAATTCAAAATACTCATAAAAAACCTCAAAAACTCCTCACAATAATCCAAACAACGCTCTCCCCTGTCTACCATTGCCTTACTATCAAATAACGGGTTTTTCAAAATGCTCTGAAATCTATGCAATGCTATATAAAAAATGTCTTGTGGTTTGCATTCTGTTTAAGTCTCTTTTTTTTTATAATTGTTCTCTTTACCTAAATATTTTTATTTTTGTAATAATTGGATCTAATTTAGCTTTAATTGATGAAGTTTTAAATAAAACCATTCCTAAATCCGAATTATCAGGTTCCTCAAATATGGGTCAAGATTCAGCTGCCAAATCGCCATGGACTGGTTGCAGTCAATTCTTGCCGACCACACAGAAAATTATTCAATTTAGTGATGGCAAAGCACCTAAACCGGGGGATAAAATTGTACGTCGATAGTGTCTATGAAGAATATTTTAGCAAGTCTCGTTTTTTTTAGGTATATGTTGCTGGCGCTTTCGATTTATTCCATGTCGGACATTTGGACTTCCTGGAGAAAGCTCGACAATTGGGCGATTATTTAATTGTTGGTCTGCACACAGATCCAGTTGTCAACTCATACAAAGGCAGTAATTACCCCATAATGAATTTACATGAACGGGTTCTAAGTGTATTGGCCTGCAAGGTAGACCATACATTTAAAAAATACTTAAAAATGGTATAATGTAGAATCTTATTTGGGTTTTATACTTTTTGTAGTACGTTAATGAGGTTGTTATCGGTGCACCGTATTGCGTTACCGATGAACTCTTGGATCATTTCAAAGTCGATGTAGTCTGTCATGGCCAGACGCAAATCACTTTAGAGGATGGAAAAATTGATCCTTATGCGTTGCCGAAGACTAGAGGTACGTTCACATTAATCGATTCAAGCAACAGCATGACCACGGAGCGTATTGTGGAGCGTATTATATCACATCGTCTCGATTATGAGCAACGTAATAAAGCCAAAGAAAAGAAAGAAATCGAAGTTTACGAAGCACTGCAACGTGCTAAAATAACACAAAAAGCTGGCTAATATGCAATTGTCAGTGTGGATAAATCGGTACCTGACGACGAAAACAACTCGAGTCCTTGACAATAGTATAAACCAAAGTCTGGAAAAGAGAAAACATTAGCGGCAACCGTTTTATCCATTGAAACACTTTTATAATTTTCGTGATTTTTTATTTTATTTGTTTTCAATATTTTTTTTATTCGAAATTGTTTTTTCTTTTTTTTACACGATTTGTTTTCCGTTAGGAATTTTTTGTCAACAGTCGGTTTTATTCGCTGCAACCGCTTTGTAAAAATTTTTGGAAACATTTATTTTCCTCAAGAATATTCTTGCTTTGTTGTTTTTATTTTGTTTTTAATATTTTCTATTCGAAGTCGCCGTTCAAGAAGAAACCTTCCTCCTAAATATTTTTTTTTATACGTTTTTTAGTTAACTACATTTTTTAGTCCTTTTTAGGCATCTTCGAAAAAACCATAACGCTGTAGCCAAATTTATTGTTTCTACACATGCTTGACAACTACATCCGGTTTACAGCAGTTCCGGAAAAAATTAACTGTGATTTGTTGTAAAAAAAATTAGAAGTTATATACCATAGGATTCGTTATTTTGATTTTAATCAAGCAATTATATATGTGTGCAAATATTATAAATAAATAAGTTATCATATTATACGAATAATTTTAAAAAAATATATGACATTAACATTAATATGTAAATATATGAAAAAATTGAACTAATTTTCAATTCTCCGTTTCGTTCTGTGTTTAATGCTAGAAACAAACTCTTTTGATTTTCTACTTGTACTCATTCCAAAACAATGATTTTAATGTCAAGATCATCAAATTTAATAATTATGCCCAGCACCCATAGATGAAAATACACAGAAATTGCTCTTCCTTCGTGAGCACGCAAAAATATTTATTAGTAAATAAATATATTTAGAGCAAAATTTCGAGGCGACTGTATACTTGTTTGCCTGCCGGAAAGATGACGGCTGCAAAAATTGCAACTTTTATATTTACATTTTGTTGACGGCCATAGATCGAAATTAAAAAGAAGTGTTACTTGCCGACGGCCACGTATATTTACAACTTTAAATACCTCTACATACGCTCAAAAGAAAGTTCTAACTGATCAACGATGCGCCCGCATATTGCAAAAAGCTGCAAAAACTATGTGTATTGGGTATCAAAGAATTGTCTTAAAGTTTATATAACTTGTTTTCCGTTCATTATTATTGTATTTACTTTTAAATATGTTTGTAAATAATAAAAATAGATTTTCCTTATCATAATGGCTGGATGATGGTTATGAAGGTGTCGTAAAAAGTTTTATCTTAATATAAGCGATTTCTCAGGAGATCAGTCGCGTCAACATTTATAGCGTCATTGATGTGATTGCGTTAATAGTTAATTTATTAACAATCCCCAAGCAAACAGTAAAGTTATAGTAAATAACATTTATGTATAATTAACTAAAAATATAAACAAAATTATACATCAATATAATAATAGCAATGTTCAAATGATAAGAAAAGTCAATAACAATATCAAAATAAATGCAAAATGAGATAATGTGAAATTTAAGCATTAAAAATTAAAATTAAAGTTAAAAAAAATAGAAGTTAAATTTGTTATAAAGTTTAAAGTCAATACAAGTAATATTAAATCTACCTAACTGCAATGAAATCGATACTAAAACTAGTTTTTATTTCGTTTAAAGGAAGAGAAATGTGAAAGAGCACCTAGGGTGAAAGTAGGAAAGATTTTTTGAAACCTATATATCCCAAAGATAACTGTATTTTTTTAACAAGGCCAACTTGTAGATCATTAAAAATTATATATATAAATTAATTGTAATCCGCGAAAAATTGAGTTATATATTATATTTTGCAATGCAAACAAATTAAGGGATAATTAAGACGCGTATGATTTTTTTTGCTCCTTGTTTGCGATTTCGAAAATAAAGGAAATGTACCGTTCGGGTAGTGGACGGAAAAAATTCATCATCTGCAAAATAGCATGCAATAGCAAAGTAATTGTGGACTTGTCCAAAAGAACATATTCTAGTGGCGTCGTCCCTTCATCGCTGCCTGTTGACATTTTATCACACGGCGTTTTAATCTGACGTTCATTAGCAAACTAAACCAGTTTAGTGCCCCGTCGGAAAATTTGCATTTGTCTATGGACCTTTCATCGACGTGAAAAGCATACACTTTGAGCCGACATTCTCAAAGATGTATCGACAATATTCGTTCGATATGGTTGCAATCGTTATATAGACACAGATTTTTTTTTAATAGAATAATTTGAGTTCTGTTCACATTAGAACGCATTTAACTACATTTAACAACATGAAAAATTGGTGAATTGGTAGAAATAAATGGTTAGAAAATTTATAGGCTATAGATTTAGTTGATTTTTTAATACGCTTACCGCTTTTACACGACTGCTCACAACGTTTTAATAAATGTTTTTTATAACTTTTAATTGCAGATCTCACAAAAGTCAAAAAAAAAGAATTTATATTGGATTGGAGATGAATCTCATTTACCAATCACTGTTATATGAAATAATAAGGTATATAATACAATTTGTTACGTCGCAGAACGAGTAAATAAATAAATGTATTATGAGTAATGCCTTTGTAATATTGTTTATCTTGCTCAAAAGCCGTTATCACTTTTAATCATTACGCGTGCAATAAAGTCGGTTAACACCGAGAAATTTGTCCAAAATTGTCTGTCATGCGTCAATCTCTTAACTTGTTTTCTTTGCGTTGTAATTATTGTTCGACTAGTAACGAGCGGCCTTCATCTGTTTGGGTCACTGTTCAATTGTTCTGTAAATTTGGAGGCGATATCTTCATTTTTGCGAACGCAAGTGTGATTACCACCGAGACTACAGAAGTCTTGTGGAAAGATATAAAACCAGACTCCTCAGTAAGTTGCTCTCAATTCATTAGACTACAAGTGTGAAGTGTTATATTTCTAATATATATGAAGATTGCTTGCAATGGAGCAGTGGATGTTATGCTTCCTGCTCTATCTGCAATTTTCGCTTTAGCCGTCTTGTCATCGTTGGAGCCATTTCATTACGCTGTCGAAGCGATAACACCTTCCTTTCCTATGTAGGTTTTGTAGTCTTTGGTGCTTTCTTTTGGTGCTTTTCTACGCATTTACCATAACAAGAAGGAAGAAGAACAAGCAAGTAGCAAGGTAGGTGGACTGAAATGATTCCGAAGTTTTTTAAAATAATTTCTTTTATAAATTTTTAGTGCTGAAGTAGCCCGTCACTTGGAGGAAGACAGTCTCGGTTTCTTTGTAAGTGTTTTTGTGAAAGAAAAAAAATAATACTTTCTTTTCGATTTGAATAGTTTTTCTTTATATGACTTGATAAGCTAATAAAATGTTGTTTTCGTTTTTATTTTCTTCTTTTTTTTTTCTCTAGTTATGCTTTTTTCGCGTAGACGAAATTTTATAAAAAGGTGATTGACTGCTTGAAACTATTCTTGAATTTTTTTTTTTTTAATTTTACTTATCCTTTTTTTTTCCATTATAAACACATTTCTCGCTTATGGTTGGTTTCGAGATGAAAAGAAAAAAAAATGTTTTATTTTCCTACTAAATTGTATACTAAAAATTATTAACATATATAATAAAATTTTCCGCGCTTGTTATCACTTCGCAAGTTCCGGTACTATTGTTATTATTGTTGTTAAAACTCGCTCTTAAATTACGCATCTTGAAACGTCTAAAGAACCATGAACGAAGGTTATACACTTCTTAATTTAATAATTCGTGCTACATTCATTCCAGGGCTTGGCATCACAATGTATATGTTTAAATTTGAGCTTGTGGTGGATATAAAAATATATTAAATTCCTGCTTGATCCTTGAAATATGTAGGAACGATTCTCTCGTTGCCACGTATTATTATCGAAACCCAACAAAGTAGACAATGATAAAAGCCTTTTGCGACACAGAATTGGACCAGCTGCTGACAATCTGCTGCTACAACTGGGATAGTCGTACATTTTTTCTTCTTTTCTGCTTGTTAAAGATGCTTTTTTTTCAATCAGCATGCTTTGATTTTTGGAAATAATTTTATTTTTTATAGAAAGCAATTATTCTCAATGTCACCATCTTCACTTTGATTAAATTCATTTAGCAGGCTTTCCACATGTTTTTTCCTTTCTCGGATATGAGCACTTTCTTACCACTCGCTGTTTGAAAACCTGCAGAAACAAGCGAACTTCCCGGATTAATGACCTTGCCAACATTATCTTGTTGTATTTTATAGGTCGCTTGAAAGCCTGTTTTGTTGGCTATTTGCGCACTGCTGTTTATATTTTTTCCAAACTTGGACTTTATACTTTTAATCGACATCCGAGCTTTTATGTCTTTTAGTTCAGTTTCATAATTCGTTTCTTTGGACTAATGCCAGTACGTCTTAAGCCCGAGAGCCGCCACCTCTTTGGTCTATTGATGCCTGGTGTACTTGTTTCAACAGGATTATTAATAAACTCCCCTAATTCTGGTGTCGTAGTCTCGGTTTGTCATGTGTTTCTATTGGGTGTCTCACAAAGTTGGGGGGGTGGGCTATAATTAAATCTTGGGTTTAATGACAATGATAAAAGTCTTTTGCGACACAGAATTGGACCAGCTGCTGACAATCTGCTGCTGTCAATGCGTACAATTGCACCTCGCTTATATACTCTATAAATATCACTGGGACGTAAACGAGACATCAGAGGCACTGAAAAGGTAATAAAGAAATAAAAATATAAAAAGTAGAAAGCCTGGTAAAGTGTACTCGCCCCAAGAAGTAAATTCCCATTTCATTTCGATATAGAAATCTGGTGCATCCAATAAATGCCGCACCAACTTGGGTACATGAGTTACACGTTGAACATGTCGTTGTAGGACACGCACTTCTAATATGGCAGTTAATATATTTTCGTCACCCGAACAGACCGCTTCCTGTACAACTATAAAAATAAACGAATTTTAGCACACTTTGTGTTCTTTGTCTATTCATATTTTGTACTTCCTTGACCAACCTTCATGCTCGTTTATAGTTGGCGATCCTGCAAAGTCTCAATTTCTTAAACAAGTGGCAGACTTTTCACCTCGACCTGTCTACACGTCAGGTAAAGCTTGTTCTTCTTCTTCCTGTTAATTCTTCGATATATTCGCACAAGTGGTTTTATATAATATATAATCTTATATATATAATTGTATAAAAAAAGAGCATTTATCTCCCCTTGAACGTCTCCTGACTAGTTGTAGTAAATTTTTAGAGATCTGGCGTTCGATTTTCGCATATTTTTGAATATTTCCTGTTAATTCTTCGATATATTGGTACAAGTAGCCCTTATTCCAGACCACTATTTGCAATTGATAATGTACGAACACAAGTGAGCGGCCTGCTCATCATAGTCTTTGAAAAGCTTTGAAGCTTGACAGAAGATCCTCATACATGAGAAATTGCTTTGAGGTGGAGATCAAGTCAAGAATGTTCTTGAAGACTCTACATTTGTTGGGAAAGAAATTCCAGAGAGGAATCGAACTTTTTCATAACAAAATGTGTAGCTGCAAGAGGCAGTATCACTAAGAGATATGTCTCTCTCAAAAAAGGAAAGCTTCATTTACTTGACCTTCCATACCATTGAGGATATGTTGGGGAGTTGAAGGTGTCAGTCCAGAAAAACTTTTTAACGTACCATTTTCGAGTGTTTGTTTACGTTTCTTAATACACTTTGAAAACTTACAAGAGGAAGAATGTGCAAATTCAATGCGCCAAACCAAAAAATACTTTTGGCTTATATGTACAGATAACAACTGATAATAATTACATGCAAGAAAAATTTATAAAAACAAAAAGACTGCGACCATGACATGCTAAGGCAAATATGTTAACACATGTATGAATGTTTAAAAATCAATGGGTGGTATGCAGATTAGAAATAAAAACAGCTGTAGAATCAATGGAAAGGCCAAAAGAACTTCTTAAAGAACTTAATAAAGTAATTTAAAATAGAAACGCATTAATCCGCGACAAATATATTTTGATATAATTTATTAACATAACGAAAGCAGTTCTTGGCCATTTGAGAAGCTAAAATGTGGATGAGCGGCTTTATAATCCTACAAAGTTGAAAGAAAATCCTCTGCTGTTTGGGATCTGCATGTGAGTTTTGGAGAAATATTTCGGTTAAAAATACTGTACGAACTTGTTGGAATCTGGATGCGAACTTGTCGGAATCTGGATGCGAACTTGTTGGAATCTGGCCTGCGTTTCTAACAAAAAACCTGTAATATATTGCAGACAAAACGCATAAAAAGTATACGTGCGTACAATTATCAGAATGCAGACAAAAAATATTAATCATTGAATAACTGAATGAATCAACAGACAGCTGTTTGAAAAGTAAAGCTTGTGTCAATATACGTTAGAATTGAAATCTTCATACGGAACATTTCATTTCAAGATAAAAGTGGGAATAACTTCGTTCAAAAGAATATATTTTCGATGTTACTTTTTCAGAGTATGAATATTTCATAACATATTGAGAATAAATAAAATTTCAAATTTCTAATATATCCAAGCCTGTTAAATCGGAAAATTAGATGTTCAGCAGACTCGCTAATATTACGAACTTCACAAATATCGCATCTTCTAGCACGAATCGTTTTTAAATACACTTTATCATATCGTGAGTCTATAAAGAATTTTGATTTCCCGGGAATTAAGCAACGCCTCAGATAATGCTTTAAACTCTAATGTCGCATTTATTTTATAGAAAATGCGATTGGATTTAACATGCGCAATCTCTTGAAATTCATTATTTAGTTGTTGAAACATGTTTGAAACATGGTTTGCTTCATTGGGAGTATATATGATTGACGAAATTTTACCATCAACTTGAACCGTTTTTGCATGAAAGTCAGATTTTTCATTAAAAAAAAGCCGCAGTGATTAGGTGTCATTCATCCTAAATTCATACAACATCCGGTGTATATCAAACGCATATTGATTATCTGCATCTCTTGTATTTATTAGAAGCAGAGCTGACCTGCTATCCGAAGAAATAACAATTCTTTTGATACCATCAAAAATAGCCACCTTAATAGCATATCTGATGGCAAGCGGGTGCTGATCGACTTAATAATAACTATTTCAATAAAATTTGTAAGATGATATTTTAATTTCAATGTATACAGTTAATATATATGGCTTTGAAGCTTTCTTCTGGGTGTCGGAAAGGTTTTGCAAAAATTAAACATACTTCAAACAATAGAAAGAAAATTTTCTTTTTAATATTTTTACGTTTTTCGTAACCATTTGTGATATAGAAAGGTTGGCGTAAAGTTGGTGAAGCTGGAAGTTCATATAATTTTTTTGGATTTAACGCAATGAATAATATAACATTAGGTATGCTTTACTTATTTATTACATATTCATTGATTCATTGGATTTTTGCAAACAAAAATTTTGAGCTTTGATATAAATCTCTCTTTTTTTTTTTTTTGTTTTCGCTCTTTTTCTCTGGTTATTTTTTCAGTGTTTGTTTTGCTATTGATGTCTTGTTACAGTGTCAACGTAACAGAGAAGTTTTGCACAAATTGGTTGATAAACTTTTATGTTAAGGATTTTTTTTTTTGCGATTTGTCTGTCTCTTCTTTATAATCCACAACTGCCTTTTTGACTGGACATGGAGTGTTTATACACACCTTGTCGGGCGAAAACGAGCCCGGAATCTGATCGATTCGTTTCTTGTTGGCTCTGCGAGCGCTTTGGTTACGCAAAGTGTGCCGGTATTGTCGGCCGTGCTGCTGACGCAGTCGGTGACCCGTCTAAAGGCTTAAGATGGTCATGTCCTGACTGTAGGCAGCGGGACATTGACTTTTATAAACTTTTCACGGAGACGCGTAATGGTTTCTCGGAATTGAGTAGAAATCTCGGCTCCTTGTGGGAAAAGTTTGAGCTAATTAAGTCTAGGTTTGATGAGTGTCGTTTTATTGAGCACTCATCTACTACTCGTAGCGTAGCGTGTGGGACGTCACCTCTGGGTTTCTCCAAGTCTGGTTCGTTGGTACAAGTTACCGCTCCCTCTAACTCTAAAATGAACAGTAATTTTTCCGATATTGCTGAGTCGGTTGGTAGCAAAACAGTTATAAACAAACGAGCAAGTCTGTCGGTTTTAAGCTACGCCGAAGTGGCAAGGGTATCTCCTCCCAGAGCCGCCACTCACTCTAATCAAGCGCCATCGCTTAAAAGTAATGAAGTGAAAAATAAATCATCCTCTTCCCCTGGCTGTTCGCGTGTGAACGCTGGTCACCAGACGGGGCAAGTTTCACAAGCTGCTGGTACAATGGCGATAACCCCATCTATATTCTCCCCAACTCTAAACTCTCCTATCGTGAACCCCCCTCCTATTCCAAGTAATGACCTTTGCTTGACGGCAGTTCCTCCCAGAAAAGCTATATTTGTGTCAAGACTAGCACCTGAAACATCAGTGGATAACGTAAAAAGTTATCTGGCGGCGAAAGTCCCATCAGTCAACTTAAAGCGGGTTAGCATCTTCAAAATGGCTCCTTCTCAATCTAGGGCAATCTCCTCTTTTAAAATATTAGTTCCGACTGAAAACAGTGATATGTTGTTAAACAAATCACTGTGGCCAGTAGGATCCTTAATTAAGGAATTTATCCCTCGAGATCGTCCCCGTAATACCAAAGCAGATAGTCTTGTCGCCTTCAAAAAACTACATGTTTCTTCAGGCCCATTATCTCTCATTTATCAAAATGTTAGGGGCCTAAATTCAAAAATTCGTTCTAGTTTTCTAAATTCAGTGAGCACGGAGTTTTTCTGTTTGGCCTTCACTGAAACTTGGTTAAAACCCGATCTTCATTCGTCAGAACTTTTTCATAATTCTTTCGAAGTCTTTAGAAATGATCGATTGAATCGCATTGGCGGTGGTGTGCCATATCTATGTCAGTCCCGTCCAATTTAATTGAATTTGCCACTTCTCCTGACGTTGAATTTATCGCCATTCGTGCGAAAATGCCTAATAAACATATATTTATAACCTGCTCCTATGTTCCCCCAAATTCTGATATCTCCATTTACAAAAAACACGCTGCCCTCATTTGTGAAGTGGCCAAGCTGTCTAGAGCCACCGATTTGCTCGTTGCAGTGGGTGACTTCAACTTGCCTCAAGTCACTTGGTGTAACAGTGATAATTCCGGCTGTTTGAATCCTACTTCAACGTCTGATAGGGCTGTTGTGTTCTTTAGTGAATTGTTTGATCATAATTTAGGTCAATATAATCGTACCCCTAATTGTAATGGTAGACTGCTTGATCTCTGCTTTGCCAATTTTCCCGAAATTAACGTAAATCGTTGTCCACCTTTTAGTTTACCTGAGGATCCTTATCATCCATCAAAATCAAACTTTTTTAAATAAATATTATGATTTTCATAAAATCAATGTTGTATTGCTAAAACATTGTCTTTCACATTTGAGGCTTGATTTCTCAACCGGTAATATTGAAAGCTTATTGTGATTGTTTTACAATACATTAAATCTAGCTATTGCTGCGTCTGTTCCGATCAAGCAGTGTCGACCTCGAAGCAGATGTCCCCCGTGGTTTAATAAGACAATTAAATATCATGAGAATAGAAAACTCTCGCTGTTCAAAAAATATTCGAAAAGTGGCTCTGCGCTCGACTATATCGCTTACTCGGTGGCGAGGCATAGATTTAACTCTCTCAACCATCATTATTAGTGCAGATATCTTCAGTTCATTAAATCCTCTCTGTTTGCTGATCCTAAATTCTTTTTTAAATTTGTTAACTCTAAAAGAAAAATATCCACATATCCCTCTCATGTTTCTTTTAATGGCTCTGATTCCTCGGATGATTTTGAAATCTCAAATCTATTTGGTGAGTATTTCCGACGAAACTTTTCGATTGCTAATTTCGATTTATCAGCAAGCTACCCATATCCTATAACTAACTCGGTTTCAATACCTAACTTGGTTATTTCGGAAGATGATGTTTTCAA